GAGAGAGAGAGAGAGAGTGAGACAGACAGAGAATGAGAGAGACAGAGAGATAGAAAGTCAGAGAATGAGAGAGAGGGAGGTTGAGAGAGTGGATCCCAGAGCTTAGGGCCCAAGAAGCTGATATTACAGCTGCCAGTGGGGAAATGATTAAAATCTCTGATACACACGAGGGCAGATCTAGAGAAACAGTGATCTTGGAGGGTTGTGGGGCTGGGGATAGAGTGAAGGAGACACACGGTGACACAAGAAATTTGAAAAGAAGGACAGGAATTTTGTAATCCCCGATGGCCCAGGAGTCCACGCAGCTCAGTGAGCACAGGATTAATGAGTGAGTGGCCCTTGGCCAGAGGTAAAACACAAACAGCAAAGCTTCTGGACGAGCTCCTGTTTCCAGAGGCTGGAAGATGGGAGGTCTCCCTCAAACAGCTGTTACCTGGGAATCTGGCTGAGCAACTGCCATCGGTCCCGCCATCGGCATCATTCCGATATCCTGAATTTTCAACGTTTTCTGTGAAGTCAAGGAGAGCATTAATTATAACACACAACCAATTCAATTCAACATTCCCACAGGGACAGCCAGGTGAGAAACACAGGGAATCTGGATTCGTGTATCTAGCTGCATGGAACATCGATCTGAACAGGAATCTCAAACTGTACTGTAAGCACCGCAAGTGCTCTTGTAGCACAGTGGTAGTGCCCTAAATCTCTGAGCCAGAGATCAGGGTTTAAGTCCCACCTGCTCCAGAAGTGTGTAATAACATCTCTGAACTGGTTGATTAGAAAGTATCTACCATTAGCACTTAGCCATCGACGCCCAATAATCTTCGATTGTTTCTCGTAAACAAAAGGAACCTGGCACCAGTTTTAAAATATTCAATGACTGAAAACCCCACCATCCCCTGAAGCAGAGTACTGCAAGGTCACACAGCCCTCGGAGACATAAATTCCCTCATTTTTATCCTAAAAGGTTGAGCCCAAATTTTACAACTGTCCCCTTGGACTAAACCACAAGAGGAAACAGCCATTCCAAGTCCACTTTGCCGAGACTGTTCAGGATCTTATAAATTTCAAGCAAATCACGCCTCACTCTCCTGGAGGCTACTTAGTGCAAACAAACCCAGTCCAATCTTTGC